GGCAGGGGGGTGGGTGCCCAGCTGGGGGGGAAAAAAATTCTCTCTCCTCTTCCACACACCTCCTGCCTGCCCCCACTGGGCACTGGAGAGGGCCTGAGGGACACACCCTGGCCTCGGGGACTCGGGGCCCCTGTGGGGTGGACACCCCCATGCACTGCACTCACAGGGTGGCCTGTCCCTGCCCCACTCCCGGCAGGGGGGTGGGTGCCCAGCTGGGGGGGAAAAAAATTCTCTCTCCTCTTCCACACACCTCCTGCCTGCCCCCACTGGGCACTGGAGAGGGCCTGAGGGACACACCCTGGCCTCGGGGACTCGGGGCCCCTGTGGGGTGGACACCCCCATGCACTGCACTCACAGGGTGGCCTGTCCCTGCCCCACTCCCGGCTGGCTGCTCCTGCCACTCAGATGCAGCCCGCCTGGGGAATGAGCTGCCCAGGCCCCGGTTTGATCCCCCGTGCATCAGGATGGCTGGGAGTGCGTTCTGGGGCAGGGTGCGGTGGGATACAGGGTGAGGGAGGGTTAGGCCGGGCAAGGACCAGGGTGTTTCTCTGCCTGCCCAGAGCCGCCATCAGCTGGTGGTGGGGTCTGCCGGGGGCAGCACGTTCTCTGTAGCTGGCTGAGTTGGAAGAGCAGGTTGCTGTCCGAGAAGGAAGCCCCCGACCCATCATTTCCTCCTCGGCCCCTCTTTGCTCTCCCTGTGCCCACTTGGCTGCTGATAAATGGCCAGCAAAGGACTCAAATGTTAATCACCTTTTTATTTCCGCGGAACGAGCTACTCAGAGGCTGGGAGTCTGGAGCCTGGCACTAGGTCTGTGCACAGAGAGACACGGATCCTGGCACTAGGTCTGTGCACAGAGAGACACGGACCCTGGCACTAGTTCACATGGAGGAGGGATTGTGGATCTGTGCACGGAGGGACACAGATCCTGGCACTAGTGCACTTGGAGGGGGGATTGTAGATCTGTGCACAGGAGAACACGGATCCTGGCACTAGTGCACTTGGAGGGGGGATTGTAGATCTGTGCACAGGAGAACACGGATCCTGGCACTAGTGCACTTGGAGGGGGGATTGTAGATCTGTGCACAGGAGAACACGGATCCTGGCACTAGTGCACTTGGAGGGGGGATTGTAGATCTGTGCACAGAGAGACACGGATCCTGGCACTAGGTCTGTGCACAGAGAGACACGGACCCTGGCACTAGTTCACATGGAGGAGGGATTGTGGATCTGTGCACGGAGGGACACAGATCCTGGCACTAGTGCACTTGGAGGGGGGATTGTAGATCTGTGCACAGGAGAACACGGATCCTGGCACTAGTGCACTTGGAGGGGGGATTGTAGATCTGTGCACAGGAGAACACGGATCCTGGCACTAGTGCACTTGGAGGGGGGATTGTAGATCTGTGCACAGGAGAACACGGATCCTGGCACTAGTGCACTTGGAGGGGGGATTGTAGATCTGTGCACAGAGAGACACGGATCCTGGCACTAGGTCTGTGCACAGAGAGACACGGACCCTGGCACTAGTTCACATGGAGGAGGGATTGTGGATCTGTGCACGGAGGGACACAGATCCTGGCACTAGTGCACTTGGAGGGGGGATTGTAGGTCTGTGCACGGAGGGACACGGATCCTGGCACTAGTGCACATGGAGGGGGAATTGTAGATCTGTGCACAGGAGAACACGGATCCTGGCACTAGTGTAAGTCTGTGCACAGAAGGGCGCGTGACCTCCCTGCCCCACATGCTGTGGGTTGCTCCTGGAACCCCTTCTCTGCTTTCCCCCTCCTCCAGCTGCCTCTGCCTCGCCTCCTTCCCTGGCATCAGCTCTTTGTTCCCTTCTGCTCTTCTCTGCCTCTCGCTCCTCCTTGCCACGCCCCCTCCCCTCCCTGCTCCTTCTGCCCTCCCTTCCACGCCTCCCCCCAGCCACTGCCAGCCCCATCAGGCAGGTGCAGCCGGGCTCTGGCCCTGCAGGGCCCCAGCCCAG